ATATTAATAGTCAACTTCTTAAATACTTTCAAAAATTCTGAAAATTATTGATCTAATTTTTGTTTTTGGTGTCATTGAGGAAATGAAGGTGGTATTTTTTCTAAATTAATCTTAGTTGGTCAGAATGTTTTTTTTTCTAAATCCTTAGAAATTTCTTGCAAAGGTTTTTCAGGTTCTACAATCTCCTTTTCGATTTCAACATCTTTTTGGATTACATCCTCCAATTTTCTTCCACTCCTAAATTGAACAGCTTTCACATGCTCACTATTCTTGTCATTAAGATTAATCTCATTATTTCTAGGAAGATTTCCTTGGGGTCAATTGCTAAATGAGTTAGCAATTTGTTCCAACTGATTTTTATATTCCTAATTTTTGCACTTTGACTTTATATTGATTTCCTATCTGCAATACTTCTTTCTTCCAAGATAACTTCTTTTCCTTAAATTGTGGATGAGAGTTAAATCCTAGAGGATAAGAAGGTGTATAGTTGGTACCACCATAGTTATTCTAATTTCCTAAGGAATTTGTTTGGTTATTTCCCCATTGTTGGTTTACCCTGTCAGAGTTGTTGTTTCAGTTAAAGTTAGGATGATTCTTCCAACCTGGATTATAGAAATTGGAATAAAGGTTGTTAGGTCTGTTGTTAATCATATTTAGGGTCTCAAATGATGAATTTATTAGCATTAACCAATTGTTCAAATGATTTTTTCTCAATTACTAAAGGTACTTGAGGTTGATTCATTCTAAATTGGTCCAGCTTCTTAGATATGGTTGCTACCTGAGAAGTTATAATCAAAAGCACATTTGTGTCATGTACACAAACTACCTTCCTAAGGTTTACTCTTTCAGAAGGCCATTAGAAATTGTTAGTGGTCATCTCCTCAATCACAGAAAAAGCCTCATCAAATGGCTTTGGCATGAGCGATCCACTAGTGGTAGCATCAATAATAGTTCTAAGGGATCCTACTAAATCATTATAAGAAGTCTGACTAATCAGCCAATCGAGCAGTGCATGATGTGGGCACTTCCTAAAAGCTCCTTAAATAGTTCCCAAGCCTCATATTTTGACTCATATTTGTGTTGGCAAAATGAAGTAACATCATTCCGTATTTTATTTGTTTTTGAAGATGAAAAATACTTAGCTAGTAATTTTTGGGCTAAGTCACCCCACCTCTTAATTGATCATGGTGCAAATAAGTTCAATCATATTTTAGCTTTATCCCTCAAAGAAAAGGAAAAAGCCTAAGCCTGAAAACATCATTTGACACCCCATTATAACAAAATATAGCACAAAGTTCTAAGAAAGTTGTTAAGTGTAAATTTGGATCCTTAGACAAGATTCCCACAAATTGGTTGTTCTGCACCATTTGAATGATAGCAGACTTAAGTTCAAATGTGTTAGTTTCTACGACAAGAATTTGAATACTTAAGTGAATTTCATATGTTGTATGACTGACACAATCCTTTAATGGTTTATGCACGTTATGATGATTATTAATCGATTCCTGAGTATCTAAATTAATTTGCTAATTGTTTGTCATTTCTTTTACAATTTTGTGAAGTCTTTTCAGATTTCTAATCCTTCTAATAGTTTTCGCTAGTTTTGAATCGTAGGGTTCAAGTCCTGTAGGTCCTGAACTATGCATTCACCGACTAAAGACTTAATTAGTAAGTTTCACACAAACACACAAATATTTTTAGAATTTTTCTTTTTCAATCAAACAAGTAATTACACATAAAGACTAGTAACACAAATTTTCAAGTCTAGGTCTAAATGGTTCAACTAAAATTCTCCTAAGTTAATTACATCATCGCTCCCCGAAAACAATGCCAAAAACTTGATATGCTCTATTTCCAAGTGCATTCACACTCTGCGGTCTCAAGAAAGTGTACATTTCGTATCAATAATATCAGATTTTGAGTTCGAAATATCGATCCCATATGGAGTGAGGGAATTAAACTTAAGAGAAGTTCTAGCCTACTAGGTTTTGTTCTTATCCTGGAATTGAAATTTTGTAAAGGTTCTACAAACTACTCCTACTAAATTGCAATATAGTTTAAAGGTTAACTCCTATAGAAATCTCACTTATCCTAATTGATTTGGTGATTATCTAGCTATAAAGCTACCTTCCCTTGCAATGATTTAAGTGGTAGCGTAGAAAATTTAAAGTGTAAATTGTGAATGTTGCTAGTGACAAATATGAGCAACACTCTTCTTTACCCTCTCCCGAGTGCATAAAGAAGTTTAGTTATATTGATTTTAATTCCTTAAACCCAAATTTCAACCCATCAAAGACTATATCCTTAACATTTGCATCTCCCTACAATGTACTTGCACCATACCCTATAGATCAATGTGACTAACCTAGTTGTTCTACCATAGCTCTCTCAAATCATTATGGATCATAACACATTTTAACAAATCACTTGGCCATAATGAAAAATAAATGAAATTAAAAAAGGTTATTAATCACATTCAAGTTTAAAAACTAATTTTTGAAACACTTTACACTCCTACACAACCTACTTTACCATTACAAGGAAAAGTAAAAGAGATCTACTCATAAAACATGAAGAACACACCACAAAGCATCATTTAAAACAATAAAATCCACTAAAAAATTATGTTGACAGAAATATAATAAGAGAAATACACAATAATTAGCTTTTTCTCTCCTTTACAAAGCTCTGAGAATGCTCCTCCAAGGATTTTCTATTCCCTTGCTACTTTCCTGAATAATCTCCTCACAATACAACTCAAATTCCTCACCAAATGATCAGTGAAACCTATCCTATTCTTTCCTACAACAAACCTTACCTCCCTTTCACAAAAGACTGTCCTACCTTTATATAAGTTCTTTTATTCGACTGAATAACTCCCCAAATAGTGGATTTGAATTGTTGAAAACTGCTCATACTGTTTTTGGCGCCTAGGTGCCCAAAATTCTTGCACCAAGGTGCTTGTGAAGTGGCGCCTAAGCGCATAAGCGCCAACCTCTCGGGTTTCCAGGGTTGGGACTGGCGCCTAGGCGTCAGTTACTTGTAGCCTCCACTTTGCTCCATGTCTTGCTCTACTTCTAATATCTATTGTATCTGCAAGAAAAAAACATAAAATAGCTTTTTTTTGAAGTGCAATTTCATCCATAAAATTATGCAAAGTATAAAAGAAATTAAGCATTCTTTTCTACACATCAGATGTGCCTTCAAGTCACTGCGATCCGATCTCGTTTCAGGCTTAAGTTCTTGAGCTATCACGCGAAGGCCACCTTATGAAATCCTTCAGATTCTTTTTTTAATTGTATTTCTATTTTCTTCATATTTTTTTCTTTCCAGTTCCTCTTCTATTTGAGTCATATTTGTAATTCAAAAGAGAGACTTATTTGGAAGAGAATTATACGAGAACAATAAGATAAGATGTTGACTGCAAAAGTTACAAAAAAAAAAAAAAAACAGATTGACAACTCCACTTGGGATGAGTCTTTCTATTCACATCAGGTGTTTGACTTACCAAAATTAACGTTCCAGTTTATTCGTTGTGCCACTCTTGATGCCTTCTCAAAATCTTGGATTTTAGTCTGTGTGTCAGTTGCTATGATTAGCTGCTTGATGCCTTTCTGTTCCTCTCATACCCTCAGCATTTCAATCGCTTCATTTTCATATGCACCAACATTATTGTAAAATTTAATTGTCATCACGGCTTAGTCTTGAATTTGATCGGTCCCTCTCTGTTTGACAGAAATGAAAAATCAAAGGTCGATCACGATCGAACCGTCAGGGATAAATTCAATTTCCTTTTCACCTAGCATTTTCAATATGGATGAGAGGACCGTTACTTTTAATTCCTTCAAACACCTATGATTACCTAGAGTAATCCTATGCCCTCTGAGGAGTTTCCCATGTGCCCTCCTCTAAAGAAGAAAAGAGACATACACATAACATCTCTTCTGCTATAGCTGCTCATATCGGTACTACCCTTCCCACGAGAAAAAAGGCAAGCACTATGCTAGACGTTTTGGTTAAGAAAAAAGTACTTGTATTGAGATATTTTATTGGACAACGCCCTCTAATCTGCTCAAAATAAGACAACTTATTAAGGATAATCTCCTCAATCAAATAGTAGTACCTTTTTACAGAATTAATAGTTTATTAGGCATATAATAATAATAACAATAAACATTTGCGTGCAACGTCTCTGAAACAAGTAAAAAGATATTGACCTCCTTTCGATCCTTGAAATACAAAAAAAAAATTATTAGAAGCGACCTACCTTCCAACTACTGATGATTTTTATTATCTTTAATTATTTATTGTTCTTCAAGTGAAAAAAAAAAAAGAAAGGTTCTATCACTTAACGAAAAGCAAAAAATAAAAATAAAAAAAAACAAATCAATAAACTAACTGTTTCAGGAATTATAAATTCTGAGTATTTTAATTCTGCTTTGAGTTTCATGATAACCAAACTAAAAGAAATTTAAAACGCTTGTGTTTATTTCATGTCATGTAATGCAAACCAAATGCAACGTAAAAGTAATGCATTGTATTTGAAATAATGAAATTATTTGATTCAGTATAAAATAAATGCTACGCTTTTTTTTTTTATTTGGCTTGAAAAAAATGAAATTAATGTAAAATAGGTAGCTAGTTAGCTGCGACGAGTAGGGCAATAGGCCTCAGATGACGACCGTCGGGCGGCGGACGACTGACAGTGGCCAATAGAGAGATGGCTAAAAACCAAGCCCTTTATACAAATCTAACAAATTTCAAATGAATTGAAAATGAACCGAGGAACAAATACACTGTAATTTTACTAGATAATTTGAAATTTATACCAGCAACCATCAAGATTTCTATAACTCCTGTTAATAAAATACAACATACACCTTTTTTTTTTCTAGCAAGTCAAACAGCTGATCATTCTCTCAAAATTCATTTAATTTATGCATAAAAACAAACAAATCCACTGTTTAACTTAGCTGTTTGTGAACACCGAGCCGTTTTGACAGCTCTAATTGCAAAAATCTTTCTAAAAATTTAAAAAATCAATCAAATCTTCCAGCCCTGTGTAAGTATCTAATAATGAAGGAAAAACTTTTTGAGGAAAAAAAAAATGATGAAAGAACTTGTTGGAAGTTTATAAGAACCGTTTCAAGGAATTCTCTGCCTGTTGTAAGTATCTTCGTGCACGAAGACCGGTTCGTCGCTCTGCCGAGGGATCTGCGGTTGCCCTAAAGCGATGCCGTGATTTTGCTGGCGCCGCGGCCAGCAGGGATTGAAGCTCTTGGGTGAATGGAGAGCTGCAAAGTATATAATTCCAAGAGAGATGCTCAGAAGAGATAGAACGGCCCCTCCAGAGAAGACTCCGGCATTCAGAACATAGCAGTTTTTGCCGAAGTAGATGTCCTCCATCCCTCTCTTGTCATTCAGTGCGGCACTGGCCAGTAGTAGAAGGAATGCTATAACAAAACTGAACCTGTGTGGATGATAGAACTGTTGAGTTCAGGCAATGGAAGAACATAAAAGTTCGGTTTTTTACTAGATTGCAAGATTTACATTAGCTGGGCTAGTTTATTTCGATCTCATCTTGATTCGAGCCAAAATTCAAATTAATTTATGAGCGATTAATGATCTTCGAGCTAAATTCACTAGATTCATAGCCATAAGTTGTTAACAATCTGATACCGGCTCAAAAAAAAATCGATACGAAATTTTGGCTCATCACTTGGCCTGTTTATTCTGATCCGATCTCGATCCGAGCCAAAATTTGAATCAATCTTCGAGCGGACTAAATTGACAGCCCTACACTCAATTCCAATTTACATACATACCACACAATTCTATTGTATTTACATATCTAACACCAAAACTTCAACTTTTAAATACATGCCATTTTACCTATACATGAAAAGGTGTATTTCATTAAAATGGAGGTATTTTTTTTATGTAATATGAAAGATTCGGGTGAGATATATATAAACTTAATATTTAGGTGTTGGATTTGTATCAATTCATAAAAAATGATATCCATATGGTTCAGAAGATTACCAAGAGACAGCAAAAGATATCAGTGCTACATTCCAGTTAGTGTTGAAGCGGCTTAGATTTCTCCTGCAGCAAATGCACCCAGCAAAAAAGTTTATAATAGCCTGAGCCAGCGCTAGAGCAAGTGCTGACAAAAGCCCGAGATGAAAAGCTGGGCTTTTTGGATATGTGCATTCTTCATGCGCTCTAGTCACCACGTCAGAAGCCTGGAAGATAACAAAACATTTAAGCCCAAATAAGCCAGCCCAGCTCAAACTTGGGTTTATTTGATATAAAATAAAAGAAGATTTACATAAATACCACACAATTCCTATTTATTTATAAATCTAACGCATTAAACTTTCATATTTACATACACAGTACTCAAATCTTTAATATAACATCAAACATATCACTGTTACTTGCTTTTGAAAAGTGAGAAACAACTTTGCATTTATATATTTATAATACCAAAAGTGTTATAAATGTGAATATAAAAGTTCAGGTGTCAGATATGTAATTCATAAAAATTGTGAGGTATCTATGTAAATTTTTCAAATAAAAATTAATCAACGGATAATTAGTTTTGAAATTCAATCTATATGACATGTAAGAGAACATTGAATTGGATGGTGGACAACATTCTGAAAAAAAATTAAAATATATGGAAAAAGACATCTATGGCATGCCGTTGCTTTAGAAATACATAAACTGTAAATTGCTAAAATTAATATTAAATAAAATTGAAAATAAACTACCACTATAGCATGCACAAAGTTCAAATTTTCTTAAGGGGGGAATAACCTTATTTCAGGGTTGGTACCCCTGATGGTTTTTAAGGTTATAAATTTTTTTTTTATTATTTTGTGGTTTTGGTATGACATTTGTAGCTCATGTGATAGATAAAATTAGAGAAAGTCGTCTTAGATGATTTGATCACATTAAATGTCGACCATCTAATGATCTGATTAGAAGAGGAGATGGTT